CATTGTGGATGCAGTGCCCAGCTGTGCCCCATGGGACGTGTCCCTCCCTCAGCAGTGGCCACCCCTGCTGCCATGGCCATCTCCCATTTGCCCTGTTTGGCACGTCTCTGCGGTTAATGATGCTTTAGTGTCGAAACAAATGGTCTATTCAAGGTTTTGCCTGTGGGGTCCAGAGTATTAATTAGACTAAATTGGTCGGGTACTAAAAAGCTGCCTGCAATTTGGAGATAAAGTGCTGTGGTTGCAGGGCGGGTGCAGGGGGCCCAGGAGAGATCCTTTAATAGGTTTTATTGTGTGCTCCTAAAGCAGCACAGCTGGAATATGGATGTCAGCTCTAAATGGGAAAGCCTCCACCACTATTCACCTCCTCACAGCCTAGGCAGTTGTTATGAAATATTAATTTGGCCATGACAAATGTTCTGGATATTTTTCCTTTTGTTAATGGAAGCAGGATTTGCTTGCAGGGCACAGCCCATGGCTCATTTAGAGCCCACTTCAAAGCTCAGAGAGCATCATCAGCAGCTCCTGGTGCAGCCACCCTTGTCCCAAAGTGCCAATGAGACAGGAGGAGCCCGTGGTGGGAGATGAGAAAGGAATAATTCCCAGAGCCCCCTTGGAGAGACACGGCTGTTCTCCTCCAGTAACACACCATGAAATACTCCTCCTTTGGAGAAGAGGCTGCAGTCTGCATGGTGAAATAAATATGTTCATTTTTGTATATACTCAGTACATTTTTAGCTCATGGTCAGGACAGGCAGTGACCCCCCTGCAGCCCTGCTCATCACAGGAGGTGCCTGAGGCTCCAGCCCTGGCTCCTGCTCATTTCCACCATTTTCACCAGAAATGAGCACAGCAACACCCAGGAACAGGTGCTTAGGAGAGCTATTTTATGTGGATGCCTGGGTGTTGGGGGATTCAGCACTTGGCGAATCAGGCAGGAAAAGAATTTGGGTTTTGTGAGCCCCTGCAGCCTCGCGAGGTTTCCTCTGAGCATGGAGCAGAAGACAGAGGATCTCCCAACCCCGTGAGGCTGCTGGGAACCTCCTGCCTGAAGGCCCCACAGTGCTTGGATGCCCCATGGCCCATGGGACGTGTAGAACTCTGGCAGGAAGATATCAGCTGTGGTTTCTAAGGTGCAGCAACTCACAGGTGAGAGATGAGTCACTGCTCCCTGGAATAGAAGGGTCTGACCCAATTAAAATAAAATAATAACCACCTGCATCCACTGTCTCTGTGCTAGACACCAGTGGAACCCCACATCGGATGGCATTTTGCATTACCTTCCCCTGATCCCTGGCCATTGGCCCCTGCGTCCTGGATATTCGCTGGTTCCCGCTGCGGTGTCCCAGCGTTCTCCTCTCGCTTTGCTTTGGAAACACAAAGCACAAGACATGGGCTGGTGGAGCAATTAGTGATGGCAGTCAGGTTTTAATGGCTGCAGAGCAGCAGGTTTTCAGAGCAGATTTAGAATTGCTCATTTCTTTAGTTATGACCTTTTCATTGCATCCCTCAAATGTGTCCCAGATTCCAAAATACTCCAAGTCACTGTTACAGCTACCACAGACTGGGAATTTTGGCTAACACGCAGCACATCCCGTTATTCATTGAGCTATAGATCAAGCAGAACTTTTCTCTCCCAACACCTAGAGACAGGCAGCCCCATACGATACCTTGGCATCTCTGCTCTCCAGCAAAATTCTCAGGAGTGGCGACCTCTGGCAGTGAATTTCTATTTTCCTCCAGATTTTCCTTTTCAGGTGAAGTGTCAGGGCTCGTTTCAGCATTTGCGTACGGGACTGTCCCGAGAGATTTTGCAGTTTCTTGGCGGCCGCCGATGCCCTGGAGCGGGNGGGAAAGGGCATCCCCAGGGGGAACTGGGACCTGTGGTGTGACACCTGCACATGGAGGGATCCCGGCACCCGGAGCAGCACCTCTGAACAGCAGCAGCGTCATTTCCCTCTCTGCAGGAGACTTTGGGAAAAACTCCTTTTCTGTACCAATAAATGGAAATATTTTTGGAAAAAAAAAATCCTCATCCTACTGTGAGCAAACATCCCTCAGCTGCCCCCGACAGCAGCATAAGGTACAGAAGTACTTCAGGGGCCCTGTAAGTATGTAAGCAGCAAACTGGGCTGCTCGTTCCTCCACAGAAACTGGAAGTTTGTTGACCAATGCATAAAAATATCCAGTACCATGTCCAGACTGGATGTGGCTGCAGGATCCTCCCTGTGGGAGGTGTTGTGTGACAGGTGAGGCTCTGCGAGGAATCACTTGCCCATCCATGGAGCCCACATTTTACGGTGGGAGGTGGATGGGGTCAGTCCCAGCCAGGGCTGCAGGAGAGGCCTGGGCAGCCCTCCCTGTGCTGGGGACAGCCAGGACACGCGGGCCTTGCTTTGTCTGGGGAGAGCAGCTGCAGGAGCAGGGAGCCAGAGCTGTATCCTGCCTGAGGCTGCCAGGGCAGCCAGAGGGCTTTCCTGGGGTCTGACAAGGCAGGGTCTCCACTGCTGCTCCCGCTGTGAATCCCTGCAGTGCGATGCTGCTGCCTGTGCCCTGGGCTGCAGAGGGAGGCCGTGCTCTCCTCCTGCCCCTGTGAATCCCTGCTGTGGGAGGCTGCTCTCTCCTCCTGCCCCGTGCCCCGTGCTGGGCTGGGGGCTGCTCCAGCCCAAGCCTTTGGGTGCATGGGATGAGCATGCACCCAGTGCATGCTAGTGCATCCCAGCCCTGCCTCTGCTCTGGGCCCAGCACAGCACTGCCTCTGACGTGTGCATCGCTGCTGACAGCATCTGACAGGCTCAGTCTGCCAAAGTATTGACTGGCCCCACAGATTTCCCCGGTTGACTCCTATTCCAGCTGTCTTCCTGATTTTCTCTGCCTCCTTCAGCGCGGCTAGCCCGCAGTCACCATCAGAAAAATGACACAGGCGTTGTTCGGGCAGTCAGCTCGCATCAGGAGCAGGGATTTCATGGGGCTCTGCTTGCTGACATTCAGTCAGCTGTCACAGGGCGGGCAGCAGGCACTCATATGTCACGGTCACATCCCATCGCCAGCGCTGTCACTCGCCGCCGCTGCCCGCTCCTGGGGACAAGCACTGGAAATGCTGGATCTGTGCTCGGGGGCTGCAGCCTGCCTGGGGCTGCCACTGGGCTGGGCCCTGCTCCGTGCTGGGACCACTCCCAGGGCACCAGTCAGCCCAGTCTTCCAGAAACGAGAGCATCGCTCCAGAAACGAGAGCATTGCTCCAGAAACGAGAGCATTGCTCCGGCAGGCACAGCCGTGCCACCACCCCTACACACCCCAGGCTGGGCTCCAGGAGCGGCAGAGCTGGGGAGCACCAGGGTGGGGACACACCTGTGTGGGGTGGGAATACCCGTGTGTGGGGTGGGGACAGGGGGCCCTGCTGTCCCCGGCGCTGAATTGTTAAATAAAAAAGGGATAAATGGTAGTGGATGAGCTGCTCCCTCTGAGCGCAGAGTGTTCGATCTGCCCAGCCCGGGCCCTCTCGAGGGGCTCCCCTCGAGTTACTGCCAGGCTGAGCCATAAAGCATGGCCCCAGGAGGAGCCCCCAAAGCACCAATTCCCGGCATTCTGGCCTGCTGGCTCCTCACTCCGTGCAGGGAAGGGCAATAGCTGAGCTGGTTCTTGCAGCCACAGCCGCTGCAGGTGTCACGACAATTGTCACTTGTCACCTGTCCCCTGTCACCGACACACCCCTTACTCACCTGCCATCAGCCCGGCCCGGCTCGGCAGAAACGGAGAGAAAGGATTTTGGGGCTGTGGCTGCCATGGCNGGCTGTGCCCGGCGCTCGCCAGCCCAATCAGCGCCGCCCTCGTCGCCAGGCTCTGCCCGTTGCATAATTAAATGCACCATTATAATTTACATAAACAAACAATCTGGAGCAAGGAAGCTTTTGTGCAGGCCCGGAGAGCGGGGCTGCGGGCATGTCAGCCCCGCGGGAATAAACAGGAGCTTGTGCTCCAGGCACAATGGCTCTTTGTGTGCCCGCTGGCCACAGGGACAGCCTTTGTTCTGACCCCTAATCCCCGGAGGGTGACCACCTTCCCCAGCCTGCCACCTAACCTGCTTAACATTCCCCAGCGGGTTTGCACCGGGGATGGAACTCACCAGGGATGGAGATCACCAGGAAAGAACCTCACCAGGGATGGAGCTCATCAGGGATGGAGATTGCCAGGAATGAACCTCGCCAGGGATGGAGCTCACCAGGGATGGAGCTCACCAGGGATGGAGCTCACTAGGGATGGAGATTGCCAGGAATGAACCTTGCCAGGGATGGAGCTCACCAGGGATGGACCACGCTACGGATGAACCTTGTCGGGGATGGACCTCACTGTGGATGGAGCTCGCCATAGATGGAACTCGCCATGGATGGAATTGGCCATGGATGAACCTCGCCAGGGACACAACTGATCATGGATGGAGCTCACCATGGATGGAGCTTGCCATGGATGAAGTTTGCTGTGGATGGATCTTGCTGTGGATGAATCATGCTGTGGATGAACCTTGTCATGAATGGACCTCACCATGGATGACCCTCGCCATGGATGGAGCTCACCAAGGATGGAGCTCACAATGGATGGACTTCATCATGGATGAACTCACTGTGAATGCAGCCTGCCATGGATGAACCTTGCTGTGGATGAACTTCACCATGGATGAACATCACCATGGATGAACCTCACCGTGGATGAACATCACCATGGATGAACCTCGCTGTGCCTTGAGGCACAATGGATGCACTTGGCCCTCTGGGGAGCAGCCCCAGCAGTGGGAGAGGCACAGCCTCACATACAGCACGGTGTCACAGTGTCCACGTGTGCCTGGCCTGCACCTGGACAGCCAGCACTGCTCAGCGGGGCCAGGGCTGCCCCTGGAACCCTGGAGGTGTCCCAGGCCAGGCTGGACAGGGCTTGGAGCACCCTGGGGCAGTGGAAGGTGTCCCTGCCCATGGCAGAGGGTGGAATAGGGAGAGCTTTAAGGTCCCTCCCAGCCCAAGACATTCCATGATTGTCTCAGCGACTCTCAGTCACACCTAAGGCTGGCAGGATTCAGAGGGACGTTTGCAGAGGGAAGCTGGAGAGTCACCCGAGCAGCACGGGGGCATTTCTGACCGCAGCTGAACTCATCTCAACCCTGGTGCCAAAGCCAGGTTTACATAACAGTGTAATCTCCTGCTGTGAATGACATTCTGTGTTTGTGCAGTACAGCATTTCTGGTATCTTTGGGCTTTAGGGTTTGGAAATCCTCTTGTCAAGTTCAGCCCCCGATTAGAAATAGACCCAAGCACTTTCCACTGCTTCTATTCATCTTTTGAGCTTGTGTCTTTAAATCAACAAGTTTTCATTATTGTTTTAAAATTAATTTGGTGTGATTGATTTGTAAAAGCCATCCTTTACTGGAAAACGTTGTCAAGGAAAAGTGAAGGATAAGGTTTGAATGTGAGCTGACAATGAGCAGGGGTTGGTGCCCTCAGGAGGAGAGGCTGAGCACCCAGCAAGGTCTGGTGACTGGAGAGGAGAAGGTTCTTTCCTTTTATCACAGGATCACTGAACCATTTGGGCTGCAGGATTGCAGAAGGAAAAGGCAGCTGTGGGTTCTTCCCACCACAGGCAGCTGTTTGTGAACAGCTGGGCAAAACCACCCCTCAAGGGCAGGGAACAATTCCTTCTGCACAGCCCCCACGGGGTGGATTTCTGCCTCTTCAGGCTTTTAAAAATGAAAAACCTTTATTCTGTCCAATCTGGTGTGGCACAGCCACGGCTGGGTGTGACCCCACTCACAGCAGCTGGTCCATGCCAGGAGCAGCGGGACTCACTGCTGGCTCTGTCTGTGGATGAAGAGTGAATCCCCCTGAGCAGGCCAGGCTCAGCTGCCCTCGATAGGCACCTGTGCCATGCTCTGCTCTGAGCCCTGGGTGTGACCAGCACAGAGGAACAGGGGAAAGGGAACAGGGAAACGGGGAACGGGGCCCCACAGCCACGGGGAAAGGAAGCGAAGGGTGAGGCTGCAGGAACCAGCAGAGCAGCAGGAGAGAGGCAGCACCACATCCCTGAATGTGGGGCCAGATGGAGCCCAAAATGCAGCTCCACATCCCTGACTGTGGGACAGGATAGAGCCCAACAGTCAGGACCTGGTGGGAGGGTCTGAGCAGTGGGCAACACTCAGCTGAGCAGTTAAGTCCCCTGAGAAGGTCAGGCTCTGTAGCATCCATCAAATTAATTGAAATGTTCAGTTTAAAATCCAATTGCATTCGTTGAGGACCCAGCTGCACTCTGCAGTAAACTTGTGTTACCCTTTCAGCCCCTGGGGGATAAGCAGAGAAAAGATGCATTGGCTGCTGGGAGCTCTCGCATCCCTCCAGCACCCCTGTGACCAGTGAGAGCTCTGCTGCTGCCGGTGCAGAGCCCACAGAGCACAACCCCAGCCTCTGTTGTCAGTGTCCCAACTGCCTGTGCACCCACCCTGCTCCTGCCCCTGACCCAGAGGCACAGCAGGACCCACCCAGAGTGCTCTCTGCAAGGAGAAATGCCTTTCAAAAGCTCTTGCAGTTGGTTTTATTTCAGAGTGCTCTGCCTGGCCCGTGAGCTCCTTCCTCCCCCGGCTGGGGCTCAGCAGGGCTCGGTGCTGTCACCCACATCCTGTTTGTGACTGCGGTGACAACATGTCACTGCCATCCTGAGGCACCCCAGGCGTGCTCTCACCCTGCTGGGGCAGCAGCACTTGTTCAGCCTGAGCCTGTGGGGTGCTCAGGCTCCCCCAGCCTTTCCACGCTCACAGGGACTGCCTGTATCCCAAACCGTGGCAAATTAACCACTCATACCTAGAGGAATCTCACCTTTGCACTCTGCAATACTCCAGGGTCTCTTTCTCAGTGCTGTCCATTCTCTTTGGGCCCTACAACAGCTCTTACCAGATGTTCTGGTTTTTCTGCCCCTGGTGCTTTTGCACATCTGCCTTTAACTCAATGTTTTGGCCAAATAGAACCAGACTCTCATTTGATTTTTTTTTTTCTCCTTTCTGCTGGTTCTACTGGCAATGAAAAGTAAAACCCTATTTTGAGGCAGAAAATCATGGGTCATAATATTGGACCCAGAGCAGAGGGGGTCCCAGGCTGAACTGCAGGTACTCGGTGTGGCAGCATGGACAGGGCATCACCCATGTACACACCATGGGAGCTTCTCCCTTGATTGTCCCACAGCCTCCTGACTGTCCCCCATCTCCCCTGACTGTCCCCAGCCCCCTGAGTGCCCTTCATCTTTCCAGGAGCTGTGCCATATTTCCAGCTGTTTAATCCCCTCCACAGAAATTACAGAGGCCTGTGCTGACTCTTCTGTCTCAGCAGCGCTGGTGGATCAGAGGAGTTTTGGGAACAGACTGTGTTTGTTTGGAGCTCATCTCGCAGGGCAGCTGCTGGGTTCAGCCTGTGGTCTCTGAGGAGCCCAGAGAACCCTGGCACAGCAGCACCTGAGGGTACAACTGCACAGGCTGCCCGGGCAACAGGCGAATGAATGAGTCACACAAAGTCCTGAATTACATTTTAAGTGCTTCCAGTTGTATTTGAAAAACATCATTAGGCTGCTCGGGCTGAACAAACAGCGTTTTCTTTGTGCTGAGAGGGAGCGAAAAACCTCTTGTTGCTCACCTCTGTGCCCATGGTTATTAATCCCCGCTCCACACACGCTCTCGTGTGAGCCTTGCTGCCTGAAGCTTCAGCTTCTGGGGAAATCACTGTGAGCAGGTGTGGAGTGCTGAGAGCAGGGGGAGCGTGGAACCGAGGGGCAGCTCCTGCACTGGTGGCAGGGTCCCCAGCACGGCACCCGGGGGGGTCACTGGGTGTCACCAACCTGCCAGTGCCACCAATGATGCCCGTCCCTGCAGGGCAGCCCTCTGCCCTTCTTCTCTCATGCCTCAGGGATGTCACCAACCTGCCAGTGCCACCAATCCTGCCCGTCCCTGCAGGACAGCCCTGTGCCTTTCTTCTCTCGTGCCTCAGGGATGTCACCAACCTGCCAGTGCCACCAATCCTGCTGGTCCCTGCAGGACAGCCCTGTGCCCTTCTCTCATGCCTCAGGGATGTCACCAACCTGCCAGTGCCACCAATCCTGCCCGTCCCTGCAGGACAGCCCTGTGCCTTTCTCACCTGCCTCAGGGAGGTCACTCCTGCAGGACACAGAGCTGCTCCAGGAGCATCACAGACACCCCTCAGGGCTCTGCAGAGCAGCCTGGGGACATGTGCACCTCAGGAGGGTTCTCTCCACATCCCCTGGAATGAGGCACTTGGCAAGACGTGGGGCATCAGCAGCTGGCAGAGGGTGCAGCTGGCCAGACCAAGCCAGCCCTGGGTTGTCACACCGTTTGTACAATGGATGCAAACCTGGCAGAGCAGTTTCTTTCCAGAGCACCCTGCCCAGGCTCTCTCTGCCACGCACTCCAGGCTCCATCCTCTTCCCATGGGACTCTGTAACTGGTTTTAGAAGAAGCACTCATTTTATTAAAGACCTTTGGAAGACACTGACTCCGGTAACAGGAAATAAATAGCTATCAATTTCGCATTCAATTAAAAACTGTTATTAACAGTAGAGTTCACTGAGGAAGTTCTGCAGAGGTTCTTCACATTTTGGAGTCGCTCATTTTTCACGCTAATGAAGAAGAGGTCCGCAGCGTGCTCTGATTGAAAACGAAAATCATTAAAACCCCAGAGGTGTGTGGCTCTGATCAGAGCTGCTGTCTGAGTGCCCCGAGGTGCCACCGCCGTGTGCCCCATGGGGCAGCCCCAGGCCATCGAGGGTGACACTGCGACATCAGACCCGGCTTTCCTCCTCCTCCACGGCGCGCTGGAAGCCCGGGATGAATTT